CCAAGTACTATCGGTAATATTTTGCATAAAGTCTCACTTTTTCATATGATATTTCCACATAAGAAGATCAAATAACATTGATTTTGACATTACTATTTTACTATAAATGCTAATCACGCATGAGATAAATAACCCTGGTGAGAGAGAGAAACAAGGTTATAAACTTCAGGAAAGGAAGTTCAAAGGGTTTCATTACTTTAAACAGACCAAAAAAAGCCATGAAGCTATAGAGTATGGATTTATTTGCAGAGATGATTTTCTGCAACTTGCTCCCATTCCACTGAATCAGTTATAGAGGAGCAGACAGAGACGTGACGCTGGGCAGTTCTGGGTTTGGGAAGTCTGTTACGTACAAGACGGTCGTACAGCCTGGCCAGCAAAGCAACCTCAATGCCACCGTGCTGGGAAGCCACAGCACGTCCCCTCCTGCAGCGCACTCCTGGCCACGGCTCCACGGCTAGTGCAGCAGGGAAACTTTAGCTCCGAGCAGAAAGGCACGGGTCAGACCACCCCATACCATACACCCATTTCCAGATGTGTTCTCAGTCCCTTAGAACGACGGATAGCCAGCGTAAACAGGATGGCTCTCTGGTGGCCACGAACAAGCATGCAGGGAAAACCAGAAGCAGCGTAGGCTGGCGTGCCTGGCTGGCTGACCTGCTTCAGTCTGGCCAAGGGAAGGAGGAGAGCGGAGCGGAGTATGGGGTAGCAAGAGAAAACGAGAGGGAAGGAAAACCGGACGGCTCCTGAACTACCTTCACGTCATCTACCATTGGGTAGAGCATCACCAGGTTCACCTTACCTCTACACACTGAAATCCCAAGAGGAACTGTATGTTCCAGGAATGTCACACAACCGTATTGTTAAAGCTCTAATGGAATGTCTGAATGTAGGCACTTGACTGGTGTACCAAAGCTAGGAGCCTGCCTGCTGGAGCCTCTGCCCGCGTTCGGGGGACAGTGACAGGAGATCTGGCCCCTCTAGGATCTGATACATCCTTGGGAAACCCAGTTCTCACCATCAGCAACAGAGGAAACCTAAATCTGCCACGCTTGTAACGTGGGTACCTCCAGCTGTTTTTATTTCGATAGCATTGCTGCCCCGGCAGCAGCCACTCCTAGCGACTCCGCCTGCGTCTGCGCCGAATCCCTGGCAGGGGCAGCACCGCTCCTCACGTTACTGTGTAGGGGGCTGGACTGGGGGGCTGATGGAGGTGTTTGGGGTTCTGTTACTCTGTTTTAAAGTAGGCACAGTTTCCCAGTCCGGTTCACAAACATCCCAGTGCAGCACTGACACGTACAGAAGCAGCACAGGAGAGGCAGCAGCCAGGCAGTGCTCAGGTATCAGAAGCAGCACGTGTGAAACCTCGTGCTCTGGTAACTGCCAGCGGGTTAGCTGGGACAAACCCACGCTCTCGGGTGGAAAGCACTGGAGGCACAGCAGATTATTATTGCCATGGTATGCTGTCTCCAGCTTGGCGAGCGTTTGCTGCAGGCAACTGAAAATTCAAGGACAAGCAGAGGTCTATCAGCCCTACCTACCTTTGCTGAAGATAAACACAAGGCGGAGGCAGCGGGGTGGCTGCAGGTCCGTACTTACTTTCAAAATGAGCTCCTTGGCTGAGTGGGACATCAGGATTCTGTCGCACCAGGCTGGACACCTCGTATTCATGTACTGCTTTCCCTGGCTGGAGTCCTCGCTGTACGGGTAACTGCAAACGAATCACAATCGCCACCATCAGCAACTTCCTGCAAAGCAGCCTGAAACCTCTGGCTCAAACGACCACACGCATTAAAAAATTTAACTGGCAAAAAGCAGCTTTTTTAGATACCTCTCGTACTTCAAAATTCAACTTTCTTTTCTCCTCCCTCTTTGTGTGCTCTTTATTTCCCTTCTCATACCCACAACCCATGCTAAGGCCAACATGCTAAGGCACGTGCAGTTTCAAAACTCCCACCTCCGTTTTTGCACGTGAGAGTGTTTAAGGACAGCGGACTATCGATCTGTGTGCAAGTAGGAAAATCAACAGCTCGGGTACAGAGGAGGCTGATGGCTGTGGCTATGGAACACGAATAGGCAGAAGATGAACAAGGAAACCTGGGGGAAAAAAGGTTCATCTCATGGGATTTCCGTGTGTGGTTCTCTCAAGGAGACCTCCCCAGCAATAACTGAACAGAAAACAGGGTCCAGAGCACTGGGACCTCTGCAGCTGCGCACAAACCCCACCTGTACGGATTCTCTCAGCCTGACAGAAAGGCAGAGAGGACAAAAACCCCATTTTTTCCAGGGGATTTCTTCAGGACCAAGGAATTAGGCATGTGGTTTAAGGAGAACGATGCTGACTACATGAGATTCTGTACCTTTATAGGAAATCACCTTAACAAAAAGGCAATTATTTTGTACAGACATCTGGAATAGAAGCTGATTAAATGGTAGTTTTGCGGTGGGGTCATTGTCAGTGTGCTAGGGGATCTCCTGTGTAGTCTAACTTAGCTTTAGAAGGCAACAGAAAGTGTTTATTTTAACCTACAGAACAGCCTGAAGTAGCTTAACCCAGCCTGCCCGCGTGAGCCCCCAGGCTGGAGCCCTCCGAAGCCCCCGAAGCGGCAGCCTCTGGTTCAGCTGGCCGAGGCCCAAGTTTTCCTTGTTTTATCCAAATGTTCTCCCTAGTTTAATACGACAGAACTTCGAACCTGATGATGGCTCATCGTGCTTCAAGGCCCAGCGTTTCCCCATATCCTTCTCAAAATGGCAGGGCTAAGTAGCCACAGCGGGGTTTTGGAGAAATCCAGGCTCAGTTTCTCGAATATTTGGGCCTGAATGAATTGAAGTTTGACCTTGATAAAAGTCTTTATCTAAAAAGCATAAGGCTGGTGCGTATTATCTACGTATGTATGTGTGGCTGTATTTAGAATTACGTTTGCATTTTATTCTGCTCATCGCTGAATTCATCAAGTAAATACTGAGGTTTCACAGTATGTGTGTTAAAATAACATTTCTGGTACTGTAACAAAAGGGTTTGCATGCTTGAGGAGAAACTTATTTACCACCCTACTTGGTGTGATACTCTGAAGCTGCGACACGCAGCGCTCTGCCAAATGGGTTCCAAGCTGCACTGCCATTACAAAGATTAGCCGTGGCAAGCATCCAGGAGAGGCGTGCTGAGCCTACTGGAACAAACCAGCGATCTCAGTACCTTTTCCACCTCATCAAACCTAACAAGACTCATTTTCAAAACATATTATGAGAATTCAATTTGCTGCTTCACTGACAGACAGAAGTACAGCTTATTCCTGAGTGCCTGTGACATGCCTCGATGATGTAATACCGTTGGTCGGAGACGCTCTTTGTCTGCAATTTAAGGGTTGGCTTTTCCTGGTAACCCCTTTCCTTAGTGACTCCAGAGCCCCACATAACTGAAGCTACTTTTTATGACATAAGGTACGAGAATCAATCACCTCCCATATAATCCTCCCCTTTACAGCATTAACTACATGGCTTTTAAAGTACGATGTTCGGTACCTGGAATGATCTGTTACTGCTACGTGTTAGAGCATTCCATCCGAGAGCCTATATTCTGCGAAATGGTATTTATCAATTTGCTTTATTGATCTTAACGTTTTCACAGGGTGAAAACTTCTGCCAATTTTTCAAGGTCTTTAGCGCTGATCACCCAGTCAAGAAGTTACTGTGGTTTACAAAGGCCTCTGACAAATCAGATCTCTAATGGCTGGGGCAGAGATGAAAAAAAATGCCGCAAAAGTTATCCAGGCAAAATGATCCGTAGGTAGTAATTTAACACAATAAAGTGGGGCGAGCTCTTCTTCTTAGAAGGCAGCATCCCTCCCTCAGGCCAGCAGCGCGGAAGCGTTCCGTGGGGCCGCACTCCGACGAGCAGGGCTCCCCTCCCCACCACCGCCTCCTCGCCTCGCACAACTTTCACTCCCCGTGAAATGCTGACACAGGCACAGTAAAAAACCCCAACTAGATACACCCCCCCAAAATAAGGAGCGCTGTTTGCTCTCCTCCTGCATGCTCTGGAAGGGTTGCCAATACTTTGGAATAAGCAGGCTGCTTTTATAGATGGGCTCAAAAAGTGATCGTAGCTAAACATGACTCCAAATTGCTGGGAGGGATTCTTTTTTCGTGACTTAGCAGGTTTTGGGGACAGGATAGTTTAGTTTATGATGTGCCATTTATCTTAAATAGTATCTTTGCAAATGAAGGCTCTGTTAGAGGTTTCTGGAGTAAGACTGTCACTGAAGAAATTTTCATGAAACAGTGTTGAATTTATTCTATTCCAGAATAAAACTTCTTAAACAACTCCAGTAGTCGTCTCCATCATCCCGTTCCGTGGTTAAATGAACGAGTGGAATGAAAATAGTGCAACTGCTTCCAGAACTGGGTCATCACCTTGTGCCCTCTGAAGCTTTTACTTGGTTGGAGCATCCATATGGGTTTCCTCCCCTGTGGATGCTCTGGTGTCTTACATGATGTTGTTACCTTGTTCAGGTGCCTTCCCACCAGCTGATGGGATCTAAAATCACAGAATCATTAAGGTTGGACAAACCCTCCAAGATCATCAACGACCAGTCAACAGAAGCAACTGAAAGAGGAGGCAGACCCATGCATAAGCACTTCAGGAAGACGGGCTGATGATTCTGGTGCTGCCGTAGCAGAACCCCCTTGTGAAAATCAAAAGGCACAAGGAAAACTCCCACAGCCTCAGAACTGCCACACACAAAAGCTCTCCATTTCAGTCTGGTACACAACATCTGTCACCAGAATGCAGGCTTGGGGTCTGCTCCTGCGCTCCCTGCAAGCACATGTCTCCCGAAGCTGGCAAACCTGGTCCCAGAACCATGAAGGCCGACAGAACAACTAACAGGGGAGCGTGAAAAAAGCAGTACATGAAGTCACGCCGCTCCTTTTGCTTCTTCCAATACAGCAGCTGCCCAGGTAGCACAGCCCCGTGGTCGTACACTCCCACCGACTGCGATGGGCTACGCGGGGTACAAGCCTGCAGATGCACACTGCCATTGACTGTTAACTCCTTGCTCTCTCTGGGGTGGCTTCACGATCTATCTCCTCTTTTCCTTCCTTTCAACCCCACTTCTCACCCGCTTCCTTGAAATAAAGCAGAAATAGTCTCTTTTAAAGAATAACACAAACTTACATTTGTGTGCACGCAAGAAGCAGAACTGTTCTTGTAATACACAACTCCCAGAAGACGCTAATGTCAGATTGTTTGCTGTCAGGGGCACTAAAATAGCTTCGTTTTGCTGATTTCTCTAGCCTCTTCTAACACACCCATTCCAGGCAAGTAAGGAACTCACAGTTCTTAATTCAAAACTCCATTAATCATTGTAGTTAACAGATTTTGTGATCTATGAATTGTATAAACAGTTACAGGCTTGATAAAAACAACTGCAGATTTGATAAAAATGATCTTAAGAACTCTACACCAAATAATCAAAGGTTAAAAATCCCAGTATTAGCCTCCCAAAGGGTCAGATGCCACCTTCCTGTGCGTGCATGATGGGTCTTGACCACCAGGACTGTGACTGTGGCAGGGAAAAAGGGAGAATCAGCTCTCCCAGTTCCATCACCGGACAGGGAAGAACGTCTTTCTTTCCCCTTTCAGCAGCGTTCTGCCTCAGTCACAACCCGTTGTCTGCAACGTACAGAAACAGCGACCTGGAGGATGAATAGCGAGCGCGCGTGTAAAAATGACGACAGAACAGATACAGGCCTCTAGGTACCGCTGGAACATAAACGATAAACAGATACAATGCTCACACCTATAGGTGCTATAGGTAAGACTGCACACACTTCTTTAGTATTCAGTATGGTTACTTGTTTTTACATGTACTATATGACATATATTTAAAAACACAAATGGAGAAATGAGGAATTCCATGCGGAACAACTTTTCTGCCCTGTTTAGAACAGTGGCAAATTTGAAATTTAGGAGCTTAACCCCTCATGTTAGCTGAGTAACTAACAGCCCAAATGGTCTGCTGCTCCCCGAGTACGCCAGCCAGCCTAGGTATGCAGAATGAACTTGGACTGTACGTGCCTCTGGATGAAGGGCAGGCAGGTGGTTCTGGAGCTGGAACATCCATGCGAGAAGCTTTATGATTTATCTCCAGTTGTTCAGGATTTATTTGTTCTCAGAATGCTCCTCCTCGCATCGCCTCCACCTCGCTTCACAAACTTCTGTTTCATTTACACTCATCTTATTTGACCAGAAGGATTACTGTGAGGTGGGCTTTCACAATAAAACTCCCAAAAGGCACTAATTAAAGCAACATGATTAATATAATGCTCAATGTTGTCAAAATTGAACTGAACATTCTGAGGAATTGTTAACGAACTCCATTAATAAGGAACAGGCTCTCCAATGACCTCCTGGTATTGCAGTTCATAAGGACGAGAGCTACCTGGCAGTCGTTTGGGGAAAATGAACCATCGAGAGCATCGGTAACATCACTGCTACTGCTGCTGCCGACAGGTGTTGTCCAAGATGACTGGGCACCTCTGCAAACATCCTCCCTGCGGGGTGAGGAGCCTTCTGACTCAAACACCGTCCCACCAGCAGTGTCTTACCTCGAAACGCAAGCCAGCAATACTGTGGATATAAACGCCTCCTTAACCGGCATTTCCAGTCGGGAAAAATGCTCCTGACGAACTCTTCTCTCGTGTGAGAAT